AGGGTTTTGGGTTTGTTAGAGAAAAAGAAATATATAAAAATGAAATATATCAATCGATGAGGTCTCTGCTGCTGCTGCTGCTGCTGCTGCTGCTGCAGCAGCAGCAGCAGCAGCAGCGGCAGCGGGCCCAGCCCCAGAGCAGACCAGCAGCAGCAAGAGCAGCAGCAGCAGCAACAGCAGCAGAAGATAGAAAAAAAAACAAAAAAGGAGACAAAGGAGACAGCTGTCTCCTTGTTTAGCTTTGTAGCAGCTAGTAACAACGAGTGTTGCTGCTGCTGCTGCTGCTGCTGCTGCTGCTGCTGCTTGTCTCCTCGCTGCAGCAGCGGAGACACTTCTGCTGCTGTCTCCTCTCCGCAGCTGCCTATACACCTCATCGCTAAGAAGCAGCAGCAGCTGCTGCTGCAGCAGCAGCAACAACAGCAGCTGCTGCAGCTGCTGCAGCTGCTGCTGCGGCTGCTGCTGCCGGAACAGCAGCAGCAACAGCAGCAACAACAGCAACAGAAACAGCAGCAACAGCAGCAGCAGCAGAAACAGCAGCAGCAGCAGCAACAGCAGCAGCAACAACACAGAAGACAGCAGCAACAGCAGCAAGAAGGTGAGAAGAGATATATACAAGGAGACAAACAAAAGGAGACAGCTACACACACACACATACGCTGTCTCTCTCTGCCTCTCTCTGTCTCCTTCTGTCTCTCTCTCTGTTTCCTTCTCTCTCTGTCTCTCTCTCTCTGTCTCCTTTTGTCTCCTTTTGTCTCCTCCTCTCTCTCTCTGTCTCTCTCTGTCTCTGTATCCTTCTCTCTCTGTCTGTCTCTGTCTGTCTCTGTCTCTCTCTCTCTTTGTCTCTCTCTCTGTCTCCTTCTGTCTCCTTCTCTCTCTCTTTGTCTCTCTCTCTGTCTCTCTCTCTCTGTCTCTCTCTCTCTTTTTCTGTCTCCTTCTGTCTCCTCTTATCTGTGTGTCCCCTTCCCTCTATCTGTCTCCTTTTGTCTCCTTTTGTCTCCTTTTGTCTCCTTTTGTCTCCTTTTGTCTCC